CCTAGGGACAGACACCTCACGGCTATGCATACGCCATTGGGACTAATTCAAATGATGGTTGTCCCTATGGGTTGGACTAATGGGGTAGCCGTTTTTCAGAGAGCCATGGTAGCCGTCCTCAAGGACTTCATCCCTGATAAGGTTGAAGTTTTTCTGGATGACTTTCCTATAAAAGGGCCAGTAGACAGGGATGAGACAGAGGTTATACATGGAGTTAGAAGATTCGTCGAGCAGCACCTGACAGACATTTGCGCGGTACTCGAGCAGCTGGACGATGTGAATTTGACAGTGAGCGGGACCAAGAGTCGATGGGCCGTCTCGACTATTAAGATCTTGGGCTTTATATGTGACTCAAGAGGACGCCGAGCAGACCCGGCGAAGTTAGACAAACTCCTGAATAGGCCGTAGCCGTTACATAGCCCAACCGAGGTCCGACAGTTTCTGGGAGTGGTCGGTTACTGGCGTATATTCATACGGGGGTATGCGGAGAAGGCTGAGCCATTGAGGTTACTCCTTCGAAAGACTGGAAAATTTTACTGGGATTCTTCGCAGGAACTCGCAATGCGAGAACTTAAAGACGGATTTAAGGAGGGAGGACGCGTGTTGGGCGTGTCATTCTTTGACGATGAGACCGAGAGACCCTTCATAGTATCCACGGATGCTGGACCATGTTCAGTGGGTGGTTTGCTGTCTCAGAAGGACGCTGGAGGGAAGGAAAGACCGTTAAGATTTGAGAGTAAGACACTTAATACGGCTGAGCGTAACTACAGTCAATTCAAGAAGGAGGTGTTAGCTGTTCTCCGGTGTCTAGACACGTTGAGACACTATATCTATGAGCGACGGTTCATCTTGAGAGTAGACCCCACCGCGGTTGCCTCTGTCCTCCAGAAGGACTTTAGTCTGACGGACCCGACCATCGCCCGATGGTTAATACGGATTCGGCTATACGATTACACGGTCGAAAGGGTATCTGGTATGAAAAATGCCGTGGCAGATGGACTTTCACGCATCCCTCTCGAGCGTCCGATAGTAGCTGGGGCTCTGACAATGGCAGAGCCGAGGCGCGCCGAGAGATTTCTAGTTAATCTTTACGAGGGCAAATACCGAATGATCGGACTACACCTGACGGGAGAAGAGAGTCAAGATTCAGATATCCGGAGGCAAGCAGCCCAGTACTGCCTTAGAGCGGGCCACCTTTTCCGAAGGCCAGTAGGGTCGGGAATGCCCTTACGAGTAGTCTGTGACCCTGAGGAGAGACAGACAATAGTTGCGGAGCTTCACGACGGGGTAGTCGGAGGACACAGGGAAGGAACCTACGAAAAGGTACGCAGGTTGTACTGGTGGGAAGGACAGTATAAGGACGTCGAGAGGTATTGTAGGACCTGCGAAGAGTGCTTGAAGAGAGCTCTTGTGAAATACAAAGAGCCACTTCATCCATCCTATCCAACCCGACCAGGAGAGAAGGTACACATCGATCTAGTGAAAATGCCGAGAGGGGTAGGCAATATGAACGACGTCGTGAACATAGGAGACGATTTCACTAGGTTCGTGGATGGTAGAACTATCAGGAGTAAGGCGGCAAAGGAAGTAAAGAACTTTGTCCTAGAGTACTTATCTAGGTATGGTTGTGTCAGTAAGATAGTGATGGACAGAGGGTCGGAATTCCTAGCCGACGAGGTCCAGAGCGTGTTTAGGAGAGCCGGTGCGAGAGTTTCGATAG